AGTAAATAGTGTGAAGGCTTGTAGTGATTCTGGATTCTGATATGCAAATTAATCATTAATTTGCTAAAAATCTAGTATATTTAATTCGATTTAACAAAAATAAAAAACTTACTTTTCATTCAAGTTAATTGATTATCTATCGTTATAATACAAGTGTAAACTGGTTGAGCAACTAGTTAAAAAAATTATGATTATCAAACAACTATAATGCAACTAGTTAGATAACCGGTTTAAATTATGAATTAAAGTTTTAGCTTTTTCTTTGACAATTACTATTACGATCACAGGGATTTTTGAATATTCTCTAAATTTTATAAAATGATATAATTGGCTAAAAAAAATCGTGATTATTTTTAAATCAAAAAAAAAGAAATCTGGATATGACAACTTCTTGTTTTACAAAATATAACCATCAAAATAGTATAAAAAGAAGAAAGTAATTATCCAGAAAACTCCAATATTGTCTTAAAAGATAATCATCAAACATTTAAGTTCTTTATAATTAAAGAAGTGGTATATCCACTATATTATAAACTCAAATATACCTGACGTCCTAGAAAATACCCTATATCACATAACTATATTGTTCAAACCACATATTCTAAAAAAATTATGTTGTTAAGTGTTTGATAGATTATATTGATGATTAGCCACTTTATAGAATAAATTTTGAAAAGTATTTAGAAAAATTTATAGAATCTACTAAGTCAATATCTCATGCCGCAGAATTATATTGTAAGGTAAAATATAATAAATATTTTTAATATTATTATATTATATATACATATGTATAGTTTAACTAAATTTTATTAGGCCTTGTTTAAGGATATTAAAAATAAAAATGAACAACTTGTTACTCAAATAGAATTTAAAAGCAAGCTTTCCAGACCTCTTCTTTTTGGCTTGCAATATAAAAATGTAGAGGCTGTTCGTAAAACATTATCATCAAATATATTAATAAAAATTAAGCCATTTAATAGTTATAGCAAATCAATACAACGATCACATATAACAGGTTTAGAAAAACGTTTACTGGAAGTTGTAGAGAAAGAAAAAGAAAATTTTTTTAATCTTGATGATAATATTGTATTTAAGCAAACAAAGTTTGAGATTAATAGTTACACATATAATATAAATTATAGAAAGATTGACAATCAGCTAATTGAATTGCAAACACAAGCTATTGTAAAGTTGATTGATCATGATCGAATTTCTAGAGATACATATAGATCTTTATCTAAAATTGACCAATCATTAATTTGGGCTAATGCAGTTTACAATATGAGACAAGAAATTATAAAACAAGTAAATATGAAGATTTCTATAAGTTTAGTTGATATTAATTAACCAACAACTTTTGAGCCAATTATCGAAAGAAACAATATCGAATCTATTGGAAAAGGTGGACAACGATGAATTATAGATATTCTTAATTATATAGTTCCATTATATATTAAGAAAAAAATTTTAAAACCTGGAACTACCTTATATTTATGTATATCTGAAGATAGACAAAATGTTGAAAAAAAGATAAAACATGTAATGATCACTGTTGCACTTTTAAATAACTTGGATAAATTACAAAAACCTGAATCATATTATATATTGGTTCTTTTTTCTGGCATAGAAGATTATAATTTACTTAAAAATGCATTAGCATCTCTAATATTAGATTTGTAATTTTTAAATGAACATAAATTTCAAGATAATAAAGAAATACAGTAGAATATAAAGTTTTACTTTAGTTCTGATTAGAAGTTTTTGGCTATATGCTTAGAAATGAATACCACAAACTCAAATTATTTCTGTTTATAGTATTATTGCTATAAAGACAACTTAACCAATATTACCGAATATAGTACAATTTCTAAGAATATGGAAAATATTAAATAATCATATTTGATACTTAATGAACATATTAAAGCACCTCTTTTTGATATAGTTCCAATCGAATATTGAATATATGATAGTTTACATGTAATGCTAAGAATAAGTGATCAGCTTTGGGAACTATTTTTATTAGATCTTTAGCATAGTGGATTGAACAAAAATTTACAAAACTTAATTATTGCTGAGATGAAAAGATTAAAAATTACTTTTCATTTTTGAACTGATAAAACAATACAAAATTTATCATATACATCATTAATGGGTCCTGACAAGCTTAAAATCTTAGAAAACTTCGATTTTACTAAATTTATATCAAAAAAATTTTCTCAAGAACATGCTATACAACTCCATCAACTTTGAACAGATTTTTTTGAGCTATATAATCTAATGAAATTATCTAATACAACTGAGTTACAATTTAAGAATAAAGCAGAATCATGGTTAAATTTTTTTTTACAACCATCAAAGAGACAACCAAATCAATCTAATTTTATTCGTAGCATGTATCAGGTAAATAAATTTATACATATATACATACATATGTACATATGTATTATATTTGTTATTATTATTTAAAATTATTATTAATGTTAACGTTTGTGTCTAATATTGATAAATATAAAAGGTAGCTGATATTACACCTTATATGCATGTATTAGTATGCCATGTTCATGAGTTAATTGATATTTGCCATGAATTCGGATTAGCTGCTTTTAACTATTCAGCTATTGAAAAAAAAAATCATCTTCATGTTTGTTGCTATTTTCAATCTATACTTAAAGATGGTAGACATGAAGAACATAAATAATCATGTATTCTTGAAATATTAGAACATGAAAATTGTGAACTATTTTTTCAACTTTTTGAAGTACCAAACTATTTTAAAAAAAGTATATCGTATAGATTAAAGCATTAGTTTTTTTCACTTTGTTACATGCATAAATATAAGTATAGAAATAGGATAAAAACAAAGAATCAAAATTAATACTTTGAAAATATAGAATAGTTGATTGTGACAGTTTAATAAAGATTTAAAAATGGGTAGTTATGTAATGATAATACGATATATTGAACAAGAAAATTTATGTTATCACTTTTTCAGTATTTTGCTGACTTGATATTGGACAAAAAACTGGGTTGGTTCATTGTAATTTTCTAGATACGTATAAATAAATAAATCATAGATATATTCATTTATCCTTTAATTTACATATTAAGACTGAAAAGTTGGTTTATATTACTAACTAATCTTGGAATATGCTGTTTAGTGAATAAAACTAAAAATTTGCTATGCTATACTTCTGTATGTGGCTTCAGAAGTATTGAGAAGTGATATCAGAAAGTTTGCCAACTAGAACCTTATTTTTGCTATATGGTATTACTTAATAAGAGATCTTCTACAATATGAATAGAAAAATAATCATATCATGTTGACTTTCTGTATATACTGTTTACTCAGTTTAGCTTGATATATATATTTATTTTACTTGAATAATATTAAAAAAATTTTTTTCTTTCACTAGTAGTATATATAATGTTGGATATTTCATCTAAAAAAAATTAGAGTTGAGAAGGACAATATAAGGTATTCATTTACTATATAAAATTAGCAGAGACGAGAAACACTAGTAGAACATATAATATTGAAATAATATAAGATATTTATTTGTAATCACGCTGAGATGAAAAATGCTAGTATAACATATAATAATAGAGTTGTAAAGAATCTATTTATTTTCAAACAAAAGCTAGCAGTTATAAAAACACTAGTAGAACATATTGTTAGATATTGTTATCGAAAAGGAATTAGTATTGAAAAGGATTACATAAGGTATTCATTTATTATTAAAAAGATTAGCAGAGATGGGAAACACTAATAGAATATTTGTGCTTAGCAATCTATATGAATAGAGAATACTAATAAACTAGAGGTCTGATCTGTTAAAATATTCAGTTAATATTCAAATGTTTGAATATCAAATGTTTTACCAAATTGAATATCGAATATATTTATTATTAACTGATTAATTCAATGATTATTTGATGATATAAATAATAAAACTAATAAAGAATATTTAGTAATCTAAGTGTTTTAAATAAACTACATATTTAATTTTATTTATTCATATTAACTAGCTTAAGTATATAGAACATTATTAATCCAAGTATTTAAAATAAGCTAGTCACGTTTGTAAACATTATTTATTTTTGTTTTACGCAAAGTGAATGTACATATATGCTATTTTAGGTGACTAAACCATTAAAATCCATGAATTGATTGATATAACAAGATTATTGATAGCTTTCTATATCTAATATTATATTATGTAATGCTTCAAAATTGTAATGGCTTTAAAATTGTATAAACCAAACGAACATTTAATTAATATCTTAGCTTAAAATTCTAATAACCAAACGAATATTTAAAATTGTATAGACAAGTAAAATACCTTGAAATCTAAGTTGTATGAACTAGACAAAACATTTAATCAAGGGTAATAACTTTCTCTAGATTCTGTAATAATTGAAGCCAAACCACCCTTATATATATGGCCAGAAGATCCAAAGGATAGAGTAAAAGAGTAAGAAGTACTATCATTATAAGAAGATTCTGAATTATTGCTTACAATTATGTTATTTGTAATATGACAGAAGGTTATCTATATAGTAGAAA